GCATCATTCTGATAGTACACATATTATATACAACATTAGGTTTGCATGTGGGGTCCACCCGTTGGAATCATTGATTGCCACTGGGGCTTCGGAGGGCATCGGGAGGCCGAAAATTCCCAGTCCTTTTTCTCGACGCCAGGATGTCAGCGGCGTGGAGAGGGTGGCTCAGCGTTGCCCTACGAACTCCGCGTGGACCTCTGAAAAGCCTTGAATTTCAAAACCTTTACGGCCCTACTTTTTTTTGGGGGGGGGCGACTGCCGCACAGGACCAGTCGACTACTGTAGGTGGGTACGCGAGCAGAACTGAGGCGTCGAGTTACATGGACGGGCTGTCCTGCGAGAGATGGCGAGCATAAATGGACACTCTCGCATTCAGGCCTTGGCCAACGACCGTGGATGCACCATGAGCTCCAACACCTGCAGTGGCCCCGGACTCGGGTGGACGGGGACAGGAGGGCGAGGGGAAGGGAGGAGGGGCCAGAGCAACCAAGACTCACCAATGCGGGGAACTCTAGCTCTGCGTGCCGCGGCGTCGGCCCCAGCGACACGCTGCGCCCTGCGAGCTGGTAGCACGCATGCCCTGTGGGACTCGCAGGAGGAACAGATACAGCACTTCCGTCCCCAGGCCACGGCCCCCGCCAGGCCGCACGGCCCCCTTCTTCGGCCAGATCGGCCACGCGCCGTCTGACGCGCCGCCTGTCGGCGCACCCGCGCGAGGCCGCTCCCCGCGACCGGAGGCGCGAGCCATTTTGGCGACTCTGTCTAGGGCTCCCGGGGTCGGAGTAGACGGGGTCGGAGGATCGCGTCGCATCGCCGATGCATCGCCGAGGCGGCTCGATGCGGAGCCCGAGTTGTCCTACGCAGACGGCGCTGATGCATCGTCGACGTCGCCGTGGCATCGGCGATGCCGCGCGGTCCTCCGACCCTACCTACAGTCAACCCGCAAAGTAAGTATATAGCACCCCGCAATTGCGGATAAGAGTGAGGGGGCGGGCGCGGGCGACGCGGGCGTTGTCGAGCCGGCGGACCTCGTGGCCCCCACCTTCCCTGTCGATGGCGATTTTCTCCTCCTCCTCCTCCTCCTCCTCCTTCTCCTCCTCCTCCTCCTCCTCCTCCTCCTCCTCGTCCTCATCGTCATCGTCCTCCTCCTCCTCCTCCTCCCTCCTCCTCCTCCTGTTCTTCCTCGTCCTCCCTCTCCCCCCCTCGTCCTTTCATCATCGTCCTCCCATCGTCGTCCTCCCCCCTCATCGGCCTCCATCATCGTCCTCCCATTGTCGTCCATCATCATCATCATCATCATCATCATCATCATCATCATCATCCCCCTCCTCCCCCTCCTCGTCCTCCTCCTTCCCCTCCTCCCCCTCCTCCCCCTCCTCGTCCTCCTGCTCCTCTTCCTTTTCTCTCCACATTATCCTTACATCCTCTCTTCTGCCGCGTTCTCCTCGTCCCCTGTTTACTCCTCCGCTTCCCCCTCCTTTCCCAAGATAACTGCAACGCAGTCTTATTTTCCACTGTATGCTTCCCGCCT